ACGTCTGTGATCATCAGAGCCACTGCAAAGAAGAACGAGGACCTACTCACAAGCAAGATGAATAAGAAGGAGAGAAGCAAAAACAAGGTGACAAAGAAGTCTACCCCGATGACTAACATCAACAAGGAAAGGGTGGAAAGAGCAATCAACTTGAGCGAAAGACTCGAAGGCAAGATCTCAAAGAGCAAGCAGAGGGCAAAGATGGTGCAGACCACCAGAAAGGCCAACTGGGACGTGATCAACTCCGAGGTCAAGATCCACACGGAAACCCTTGAAGCCGCCACCGACGATAAGGACAGTGAAAAGCTCCAAGAGGACTCAATGGTTGATGATTTCTACGAGGTTGAGAAGCCAAAGATCCAAACCGCTAAGAACGCATTCGCGCTATTGGACGAAGTTGAGCTATGATCTAATGAATTTTTATTCACGCAAACCTCCCCTGCACAGGTGCTTTATCATCTTTATCGGTCCGTTTCTGTAGTTTTGTAAAAATGAAAACATGGCACACTGCACGTTTTCACTCTCCAATTTTCTGTCGTTTTTGTGTTTCTGCCGTTTTTGTGTTTTTGTCGTTTTTGTGTTTTTGTCGTTTTTGTGTTTGTTTACTTTTCCGCGAACCCTTCTGCTTCCCCCTTCGTTAACCGTTGACGTGGCGCTAAAGCTTTCACACACCTCTTTTTTTGGTGCCCGTTCTCCAACTTTTTTTCCTCTCTCTTTAGGTCTGTTTTGCCGTTGAGGGCTAACGTTTAGTTGAATACTTGTGCCTTTTATAGATCAATTGACATCTTCCACTGAATCATGAAACTTAGTAACATTGCAATTCCAACAGCTTTGGCTATTTTGGCAAACGCTGAGAAGGCGCCGGTGTTTAAGCCATTCGATAAGTCGCAGTTGTCGAAGAGTTCGTTCTTTGAGCAGTTCGACTCCGATGACTGGTCGCAGTTGTGGAAGATCTCAAAGGCGAAGAAGGATGACGAGTTCAGTTATACCGGTGAGTGGGCGGTTGAGGAGCACAAGATCTTCCCGGGGTTGAAAGGCGATAAAGGTTTGGTGTTGAAGACCAAAGCCGCCCACCACGCTATCCACGTTCCCTTGGAAACACCTTTTGACAACACCGACAATACCCTCGTTGCACAGTACGAGGTTAAGCTACAGGAGGGGTTGTCCTGTGGTGGTGCGTACGTGAAGTTGTTGAGCGCCGAAGGCGGTCCTTCAGATGACGTTGAGTTCAACAACGAATCCCCATACCAGGTTATGTTTGGTCCGGACAAGTGTGGAACTACAAACAAGGTGCACCTCATTCTGAGACGTAAGAACCCAAATACCGGGGTCTACGAGGAGAAGCACTTGGCTGTGCCACCATTGGCTAGAACTGTCAAGACATCGACACTTTACACTTTGATTATCGAGCCAACCCAGGAGTTTGAGATTAGAATCAACGGTGAAGTTGTCAAGGCTGGAAACTTGCTCGATGAAGGAGTCTTTGAGCCATCCTTTGACCCACCAAAGGAGATTCCAGATGAATCTGATGAAAAGCCAGCAGACTGGGACGACAGGGCCAAGATCCCAGACCCTGAGCAAACTGAAAAACCAGAGGACTGGGATGAGACTGCCCCATACATGATCCCAGATCCAGAAGCAGTTAAGCCAGAATCTTGGGATGAATCCGCCGAAGAGTTTATCCCAGATCCAGAGGCTGAAAAGCCGGAGGATTGGGACGAAGAGGAAGATGGTGAATGGATTGCGCCAACCATCCCAAACCCAGAGTGTGAAGCCCATGGCTGCGGCAAATGGATTGCACCAAAGATTAAAAACCCAGCTTATAAGGGTAAGTGGACCCAGCCACTCATTGACAACCCAGATTACAAAGGTGAATGGGCTCCAAAGAACATTGCAAACCCAGATTGGTACCACGATGCTACACCTTCCGATTTGGAACCAATCGGTGCCATCGGATTCGAGTTGTGGTCTATGGATGCTGACATTCTCTTTGATGACATCTATTTGGGCCACAGTGTTGAAGAAGCCGAACTCATTGGTAATGATACCTGGGCAAAGAAGTTCGAATTGGAACAAGACGCAGTCTTGGCTTATTCCGACGATACCAAGGCCAATGATGAGTCTGGAGCTGAAGAAGAGGTTGTTAAAGCCACTGGTGGTGACGATGCCTTTGCTCAACTCCAATCCTTCATTGACGATGCTCAAGAGTATCTCGATTTGTTCATGAGTGATCCAGTCAACACGTTGAGTTCAAGACCTGCTGAAGCTGCTCTTTACGGTGGTCTCTCTTTCATCGTGGCTTCCATTGTCCTCTTTGTTGTTTCTTCGATCTTGAATGTATTCACTCCAGCTCCAACCCAAGCAAAGAAGGAGAAGAACCCAGTTGCCGAAGCTGAGGCCGAGGTTGAGGTTGAACAAGTCGAGACAAAGGAGGAAACCACGTCCACAAGCGTCCAGGAGTAAATAAAAAAGGACACGGAACAGTATCGTTCAAGCCAATGACGTCTGTAGAACGCTTTAGTCTCTTGTTTCTGTTAAGCTGTTCTGAAATCTTAGTTCTTCTGTAGGAGCTTTCCACTCATCTGCGATTTGTCAAACCAAGGTTGCTATCCTCCAACCACAGCTGACGCAGCATGTAAGACGGAAGAGGACTGATGACTGTCGTGCTGGTGGATATTATTTCCTCACAAGCTACAGGCTCATGAATTCAGTCGAGGCTTAACACTGTGCACAATGGCTAATAGTCTAACTGCAAAGGCATTAAACTTGCAAAAATTTAACCGACTATACATTGTGCTTCAGCTTTGGGTTGTAAAGCCTATACAGCCTCTGCTGGGCTGTTTCATCGTGATGCATCTAGACAACATCTTGGTGTGTACGAAGGCTAGAACTGTTACTGCATGTGTGATACGACAAGTACAAGAGAACACAAGCATAAGCAATGACGAGAACCAGCGGGAAACATTTCATTATGACAAGGTGTTCAATTGCAGTATTTTGGTATCACATATCCTTCACCGTTAACTCAAGATCAGTGCCATCTACAACACATGGCGTTTCTCTTGCAGCGAACACACTAACCAAAATTTCACTTGCTAGAATCCAGATGCATCATAGAGGAAAGCAGCAAGCTCACCAATGTGCTAGCCGTTGCTGCAGCTTTTGTTGGGTAAATTCAGAATTGTACTGAAGTTTCAGCCCTTACATCATGTATTTGCTCACCAAATCGGTAAACATGTGGTTTGTGCTACAAATGAGGTTATTGTTCATGTGTGTAGATCTTATACCCCGTTGTACATCCAGCGCATGAACAACTGATCGTCTCAGAAAAGACTAAGCAGTGCGAGAGGAACTGAAACTTTGGGTGCAAAAGGTAACGAGATATATCAGCACTATGTAACTTCCACTAGAGGCTTCAAAGCTGGGCATAGAACTTTGGCCAAAAAGTCGTCAGATTTCGGAGCTACCTGGAAGTTAAGCCTCTATGAACATTACTCAGGCTTTTGTTGAAAAGCCCCCCATCGGCATTATTTCATGTGATTGCATCTTGGTGTGTTCTGGTGGGCCTGACATCACAAGCACCTCCTCAACTCCCGTAATTGAACGAGCGCATGTGTGGTTCTGCAGTGCTCCATCCTCAATGGTCGTCATGTCCATATTGCTTGCGATTTCGAATGTTGAATGTGCAATTCGCATCCGACGATGTCGATGGATCCGTGAGATTTGAGATACACTATAGGCCATGTTGCACATCGCAGCAATAACCCATCGGAATTATATACCTCAGCAACAAATTGCATAGTGCGAGTGACACACTCGGCGATTAAGTGATCGTCTGTATCGAAATTTGATCAGAAAACGATTATAGCGCTCGAAATGATAATTCCCGCAACTCTATCGCGTTGAGACTGATTTTCAGTTTCTCAGCCCACCAGCACCTTCGCTGTTTTTTTGGAAAGTGCCATTGGAGTAATTGATCAACAACAACCTGGAAAATGTTGAACTTAGCAGCTTATAAGCTGTGACTCTGAATGGAGAAGGATTTACTCGAGATACGTACCTGCTTTTGTTGCTGTGTGTCGTATTCCTCAGCAATGTTCTTTGATTCTGAACGGTGCTGCCGGAACCCCCAAGCCTATGCAAGGGAATGCGTTGCACGGCACGTGAATTGTATTCCATTGCCTAAAAAATATTCTTTCGGTTGTTCTGTCTACAAATCTATGAAACAGCCGTTGCTTCCTGGTTAAAGAAGTCATTGTTCATTGGCGAATTGCCTTTGGGCTCCATCTTCTGTGTTATTCATCACGCATTGAACACTCGGTCTATCGTCCTCAACAAAGCCGGTGTCGTGTTGCTGCTCAGGCGTCAGGGGCGCCTCCCTCCCCACCGAAACGCACACAAGGGCTTACAAACTTCATTGCAGTCGGGATTGCAACCTTCTACGGGCCATTGAAGTATCAGTTTACCTCGATTCAAAGATCAATCCTGTGTTCCCTCACACAAGCTTAACATCGCAAACTAGCCTCTTTACCTCTCTATGCACAACCTCTTAAAGTCAGCACATCTCCTCATTTCCGCTGAATGCCCCTGCCTGTTTATTCGCGGGCTAGGCAGAACCAGTTGCATCGAACCGCACAAGATCCCAAATGCAGCGAGAAGTGACATGTTAGACATTGGAATTTGCTCCTCTGTAGATCTAGGCTCATATATCTAAGTACTCTTTTGGAACCTGTGCAGTGAATCGTCCTATCTTAAATGCACATAGCGAGAATGCGATCTAACGTGCTTGAGCAAAGTGCTCAAATAGCACATATTGACAGTGGTCTTGGATACTGCTCACTGCACATGGAGCGGATGTGATCGAATTCGATTGACACCCACAACCTCGCAAGAAAGAATTTTTAGTGCTGGCTACTCTATGAGG